CCAGCCTATGTGGCCTTGAGCAAGATGCATAGTTCCAAGATGCTCCCAGAAAAAGGAATTGTAAAACCACTTCAGAATACTCCTTACCTAAAAACCCTTTTAAAGAGTCACCATAAGTGAAAATTGACTTGCGAACACATGACTATTATTATTAAAGTCAAAATACTGGAAAACCAAAATAATTGTAACTGTTTTGGTTTTGCACTGAGGTTCATGAAATATGGAAACATTCTAGATTCTAAGGAGGTGAATAAGTCTCCCAAATTTCAGACATATTTTCAGGGATTTGCATGCTGGGTGCACTTTTAAACTTTTTTTTCAAAAACCTTGGGGGCTAAAGTGATTTGTGTGCATCTGATTTTAATTATGCCTCTTATCCAAACTGATTTATAAATTCACCTTGCTTTACCCTGGAACTGAGTCTGGTCATACTGTTATAATCTAGTCATACAAACCAGTCTTATCTGGGATTGAATTTGGAATTTATCTGAGTCCAGTGGAGAGCACACTACCTAGAAATCTCAGCTAAAGAGCTTTAGCACACTTCACTGAACTACCGCAAAGAATTCTAAAACTCCAGGAAGTTACAAATCCAAGGATTCTGTAGGATGGAACAATGGCAGTTAAAGTGCTGTGAAAGTGCTATAACTGTGTTGTGTAGATCCATTCAAAACACTCAATTTAGAAAGACAGTAAGTTACAATAGGGCTTGGCAATGTTCTTAATGAATACTGCCTACAGACGTATCTCTCAATGTTGTTTTCACTTGCATTAGGATTTTTCCCTGTGTGGTGTAGTGCATAGAGTGATGGAGAACAGGGTTTGAATCCCTAATCAGCCATGGAAACTTACTGGAGGAGTCAACCTGGAAAAAACACTCCTTAAATATCTTGTTTACCTTGAAAACCCTGTTAGAGTTGCTATAAGTTGATTCCAACTTGACAGCATGTAACAACATAATTTTTTCAAAGCTTACGTTCTTCCCATCTTGGAGATTTAGAATTTTATCAATTGATGTTTCTTACAAGGATAAGAAGAAGAAGGGGAGGAAAATTCTCAGTGATCTGTACTGACCTAGTTCAGTTGGTTGAACATTTCCAGCATAGAGAGGACTATATTCTATCTGTAGTGCAAAAGGAAATGGATCATCCTAATCAATTCAAGAATATATTGCTATTTCATTGCCCCTTAACACCGGCTCTGCTGTAACATTATATCAGAGTAACTCTCTATAATGCAGTGTTTATTTTCCTTTTAAAACAAACCTGTCATATTGCTTTGAAACGTTTTTGTAATTATTCTTGTACAGTAATTGCTTCATGTTGAGGAGAAGATTCTAGAAGTTGATTAACATACCGATAATTTCTGTGAAACAAACTTGCAGAATATATTTTGGCATGTGGGAACTGGAAACCAAGAGTGTTGTACCTTTATTTCCCTTGTAATCCTGGGTGGCAGGTTTTTAGAAGTTATTCTAAGAATCTCCAACATTATTTTAAACTTATGGAATCTTGTTGATATTGGGGTTGATTTTCACCAACTATTTTTAAGAATCCTTCATACATGGGCTGTTTAAAAGAAAAGTGAGAAATATTTGGCTTTTGAATCATGTTACACCAATTTTCTGGAGCCCTTGCCAACATAGTCAATGATATTAGGAATCTGGCAAGATATGGAGGACTGCATTTTATCCAGCCCGGTTTATATGAAAGTTGCTCTAAGTATACTATATAGCATTATCATTATTCATTTCCATTAAAGGTACTAATCCATGCTGATCTAGAAGACCACTCTAGATGCATTTCTCATTTTGTTCCAAAATTAAGGCGTTCCAAATCAAAATTAAGCGCCCCTAAATCTTTCTATGGAAATAATCGCATTGTCCCAATGTAGTTATAAAGATACTTAAATATGAAATATGCTTGCAGCCCTGAGGCAATTACTGTGGAAGAGTCAAACAGTGTTTGTTGAACTGAAGAAAAATAAAAGTACCTTGGAGACTAGCTGTCTCATCATTTCCCAGATGCCACCCTATCATCTGCCAAGAAGAAATACATTTATCAAATAAAATATGATGCCATATTATTATGATGTGTCCTCGGGCTCCTACTAGCACATTTGAAGTGTCTAAATGTCATAATAATGCACTTCCCTGAGGTGACATTCATTACAGTTGTAATCAGCCTTATCCTATGCAGTAGTTTTCAGCAAGTTGCCTTATGATCTGTGTTTGAGGAGCAGTTGGTGGAGTTCCCAAGAGGAAAACCTCCAACCACTTGTTCTGTACTATGGCATGCTGCAGAAGATAGCATCCAAAAACTCCAATGCCTGCCACAGAAGGAGCCCAGAGAAAACTATGACAGAAATAAGCTATAACTAACCTTGCATTATCCAACTTAACTACAGAAAAGACAGAGAGTGATTGCTGGTCAAAAGATGCTTGCATTGGCAAAGTGGTAACAGCAATTGTCCTATTAGGGTTTTATTTTTATTTTTAAACTAATAATCTTGGATCTCAAAAGTCATCTAAACTAACCCTCTGCCAATTCAGGAAATTCAATACTACAGGCCCTCAGATAAGTTGTCCACCAGGCTCTCCTTAAAAGCTTCTAACAACAAAGAGTCCAATACCTTACAAAGTGGTCTGCTTCACTTTCAAAGACCCCATCCAAACTCGAAGTTCTTCTTCCTGTTTAGTGAATATGCTTTTCCTTATAATTCAAACCAGTCCTCATCTCTGTATTTGATCTATCAGGCATATAACAGCCTTTCAATTTAATTTGTGCATGTGTTTGATAAATGACCCACATACAACACTGAAACAACATCAAATCAAATAAATTTATTGTCATTGTAAGTGTATACATAGTATACCCCTACAACGAAATTCACACAGACACCCAGAGACCAGACCCCCATGCACACACATAAAAAATCCCCAAACACTCCCCACCCACTAGAAATCCTCCACTAATACACCAAAAATCCCCCACTAAGAACATGCTCATTGCATAGAAATACACAGGCTGAATAAACTTCTGGAGGTGAATTGCTTCAAGATATGAAATTTCCATAGACATTATCTGTTGCATGCCGAGTGTGCAACAAGTGATGTCTATGGATTTCTTTTTTACTTGAGACAATTTGTCTCCAGAAGTTATGTCTTTTGTATAGCAGCACAATGAGATTTCAGTCAAAGGATCATATCTTAGATGAAATGTACTAAAAGGCAATCTTGGACTGAGCAGTGATGGTGGTTAGGTAATGTAGAGGTCTGAATGGGCTAAATCCAAATTTAGTCATAATTAAACTAGGCCCACACAGTTAGGGCATGAGGGACTACCTCCTCTCACTTTTTGATCTGGCAGTGCAAACACCAGCCATGCATGCTGTGATTCTGGCCACAATGTTAAGGTCTACCATGTCCTCAAAATGGACCCTCCCAGGCAGCAGCTGTTTGGGTTTCTCCCTGATTCATAGTGATGTTTGTTAGCAGAAGATGGGAAATGGGCAAATAATGTCATGGCCTTCAGATGGAGCGTGTCAAAATGTCTTCTGAAGAGCACAAGGTGGGGTGATCTCAATCTGGGGAGCCTTTTGCACATGCCTACTTTAAAGGTACTGTGCCTTACGTAATAATTATGTAGATAATTCAATGCTGAGAATAGTCAGCCCTGGGTTGTCTTAACTTATATGTAGTTACTATCTCAGACTTTTCTTTCTATTTTTAGCTCCCTAAATGGAGAATTTCCATGTTGTTTTTCTGCTTTGTTAGATTTTCTTAAATAATGGAGCAGGTCTGTAGGCTCTAGATGCATAGCTAAAAAAAGGATGGTGAACCTAAAATCAAGGTTCAGAGGGAGACCAGCTGAGTTCTTGCTTAATATTTAAAATGAAACTATTTTTAGCTGTTTATATATAGCCCTCTGACTTATTTAAGGCACCCCTCCTTTTTTCTCCTTGTATTTATTTTTGGAGACATGGTGGCTGTTTATATCTATGCTAAGGCAATGCCTATCTTGTGGTGCATGAGAGTCAAGTGTTTAGAATGGAGTAGGGAACCTTTTGTTTTGGCTGACAACTCCCATAAACCTTTGTGTGTTTGGTCATCTCAGTTGGAGTTTCTGGGAGATGAAATTAAAAATGTCTGGAAGGCCAAAGATTCTGCACCCCAGCCTCATAGATGATCAACATCAGCACAGTGCAAACTGTTAGCATTTCTTAGCGGTTTAGCAGAGTAATTCGCAGGGCCAAAGATTCTGCATCCCAGCCTCATGTATGATCAACATCAGCACAGTGCAAATTGTTAGCATTTCTTAACGGTTTAGCAGAGTAATTCGCAGTCCAGAAATAACTCACGCACAGTCCAGCAGCATTTCCTTCAGCAACGTGTATTTACAGCAGTATTTACAGCATTCTGGCAGCATAACGTGTAGAAGTGATCTTCAAGCAGGAAGATACAACTGAATGTACAATTCGCACTTATATACACATACAGAACCAATCAGATTACTGGTTGCATCATCCCTGAGTTGCATCAGCACTGCTGAGTCATCCTGACTCAGTTTTAACACACCTGATCATTATGGCTTCTCATTAATACATTCCATTCTGCTCAGGCCTGTAATTTTCTTTGACACAAACCATAGTAGATTGTTTGGCTTCCGTGGGCCATTGTTAAGGAACTCCAGAAATCCTTGTCTTCCACACTGCACCAGCTGTCTCTTGCCATATCCACTTCTTAGCACTTCTTAGCGCTGTTCTAAGACCACAGATGCCTACAATCTAGTCTCAGGTGCCACTAGGTTCATGTTGTAGCAGTAAGGTCAACAGGAGGGCAAAATATAGTACTAGATACTTAAGTAAAAGCAGAAAAGTGCAAACTTCTGATGAGTGGCTGGCTTCTGATCACAGTGGGAGAATGTCACCCCAAAAGTTCCCAGCAATGTCCTTTGGCCAGAAGCTTTCAGGGCTCTGATCTGTTAACTAGTTCGCTGAGCATGGATTTTACAGGTAAGATTGAAAAATGTATGTGTTACATGGCATTTTCCAGATAAATATATTTTATTTTCTTAATTTTTTTAAGCAAATAAAGTAAGATTAATATGGACATTTCTGAAATGGTGAAGTGGAGAATGGTGTGAATCAGTGGACAACCAAAAAGATATAATCATTGTATTCAGGGCCAAGTGACACATTGACTGTAATCTGGTTGCACAGTTACACATGTGTAATGCAAAGCTGTGGAAACAGTAGAAAAACATTGCAGAAGGGTGGAAGTAATCTCAACAAGCAGAACAGTAGAAAAACATCGCAGAAGGGTGGAAGTAATCTCAACAAGCACTTCTGCAAGTGTGTTGTGCAACACTACCAAAGTAAACTGCATGTCCATTGTGCAACCTTGATTACATGATTGTGAACCACAGGATCCATTGTGCAACTGTGATGTGAACTACAAAAAAACCATGATGTGAACCATGCAATCAATTGTGCATTACTGTTTGCCCAGGCATAAGGCCTGATACACCTCCAGCAAGCATACCTTTATATTAAGCTGAGGTGAACAGGACTGCAGTCATTCTGTCCAGTGAGTAAAACTTCCCCTTGACTTTTGCCATACTCACTAGTACGTAAATGTGCCAGACCCCTAAATTGACTAGTCCTTGACTTTTGCCATACTCACTAGTAAATGTGCCAGACCCCTAAATTGACTAGCAGTAGTGAATTACAGACCTTAAAGGCTTCTGCTTAGTCCCAAAGATAGGGGGAACAATAGGAAACTTTAATCATTACAGATTAGAGGCTGTGGCTGATGATGTTATCAGCCTTACACATATGGAGCTATGTCAACAGTATTCTGACTATTATCTAACCTGGCAATATGTGTTGGTGGGGGTAGACGTAAAGATGTAAGGATAACTGTCAGCATTGACACTTTTTATTAGCAGATATAATCTACATTTGCTAAAGTGCTAGCGTATTCATTTTAATGCATTATGAAGTATTTGAGATTATCTCAAGGGCAAAAAAGTCTGTCTACGCACCTTTCTTTTTAACACTGCTAAATGCATAAGTGAAGCTATGTATTATTTAGTTAATGACTCAAAAAAATCTCTGAATTGGACACTCTAGAGCGATGTGGTAGAAGATATTAAAAAAGAACACATTTCTTCTAGCATTAATTACTTAGATGCAATGTGAATAATGCAGTCATATTTATTGAAAGTTAAGCACAATCTGCTAATCTTTGATGGCACTTTTCCTTTTATCTTATAGGTGCTATTAAAAGAATCAATCGATCAATTGATTGATCAATAAATAAGACAACTTGATTTAATATCCCACCTTTCTCCCACTGCAGAACTGATTGATCAATAAATAAGACAATCAACTTGATTTCTTAATATCCCACCTTTCTCCCACTGCAGAAACCAAGACAATTAGCTCACAGCAGGAATTAAAAGTGATAAGAGCCAGAACCAGATGGCCAGAATCCAAGCATGCCAGTATAAGCCATAGTGGCATAAAATTCAGAAGCGAATTTCTGTTAGTTTTGTAGTCAACAGGGCATTTGATGGTGTTTGTCATATCACAACATGCATGGCAGCAAATGCCTATGCTGACCTTTATACTAGCAGCAATTCACTGCTGAGATTTATGTCAATGAATTATTCTCATGGGCATAAATAGCAGGATTCCGGCTACCAAGTTATAAAGCAAAGCAACGTGTGCTGCTTATATAACAAGCCCAAAGAGTGCTTAAAGCCCTCTTTGGGCAGTTTACAATTTTTGTTATGCCCCGTCCCCAGCAAGTTGGGTACTCAATTAACCAACCTTAGAAGGATGGAAAGTTACATCCACCTCGAGCCACCAACCTTAGCCTAGGATTGAACTCAGGCCATGAGCAGAGTCTTCACTGCAGTATTGTAGTTTAACCACTCTGCCACAAGTATTGTTTAATACTTAAAGGAAGCATCACTACCTGCAGCTGCCACCAGTTTTAGACTTCTTGTTCTTTATAGGAACTAACTTCTCTCTTAGACATAAAAGCTTTATATTTATTCCTTGCTGCAAAATTGCTGACTATAACAGAAAATTGGTAAATGCTGTGCACTATCACAATGATTGCCTAAGATTCGGCGGCAGGCAAACTGATTGCCAGGTTAAAGCTCTAAAAAACAGTAATTCTATAAACACTTTCTCTCAAACTCGGTCTTCATTCCTAGAATACATCAATAATAATATACTAATGCAATGGTCCCCAACCTTTTTCAATCTGTGAACTGGTTCAGCGGGGGCGGTATCCATGTGTGCGTGGGCAGGGCATGTGTGCTTCCATGCATGGGTGGGGCATCTGTGTGTCCATGGGTGTGGTGTGCATACATCAGTGCGTGCATGGGGGCATACATGTGTGCATGGAGGGGCGTGCAGGGGAGCGGGAGATCTGTCTCCGCAGCCCAGTCCTGCCAACGCCACGGCCTGGTACCGGGTTGCAGATGGGGGTTGGGGACACCATGCAGATTCTTGGAAGCATGTTTTATTAGAGCTGAGCTTGTTTTATCACAGTTAGCACAGGCTTGGATCAAGAGGTTTAAGATGTTTTATTTTTGTCCAATTTGTTTTATTTTTGTTACATGTTTATTTAATTTTTTTTAAAAAAAGCAAAACCCATCTAATAGCATAACAGGTAAGGAAAAAAAATACAGCAGACCCCCTAGCCTGGGAGCAGCTACTGAAAAGGCTCTCTCTTGTATCCTCACTGAACAAGCCTATGAGGTATGATAGCACGAGTAGTTTGTAAACTGGAACAGGGTAGTACCTTGTGGCAAAATTTCAGGGGGACAACCCCTCCTGAAGTTGTCATGAGTCATTTATTGGGTGGAGGGATGAAGAGAAAGGACTCTCTCAAAGACCTTAAAACCAGGTACAAGATACAATCCCCTATATGTCATGCTTGAGCAGCAAGGTTTTTAAAAGTTGCCTAAGGAGCAAGATTTTTCACTAGAAGACTCCATGGAGTTACTGAACAGCAGCCTTCCAACATTTGTCTGGAGTTTGTTGCAGTGGTGTGGACTGGGGTTCAAAGGATGTTCCTGAAGTGAGAGTACCCTACCACTCCATATGAGTAGAAGGGAATGGAAAAACCCAGCATGGTTTTATTATTGTCAGGAATTTACCTGATTCTAACAGAACAGTTAAAGTATTGGTGCTGTCCAAAGGAAGCAGTTAGAGCTACAAAATTGCCTTCAGAACTACATGTGGTGGATGACATATGTGCTACACACCCTGCGCTGGTCTGCAAGCTGTGATAACCACAAGTTCTCTCTTTTGGGCTCAGTAGGAAAGTTAATATTCTTGTTGCCAAGTAACACAACATATTTTTCTCACGTTATAGAAATGAGTACAACAGGACACAGATGTAGGTGTAAGAGCGAGGCAGAACTGCTCTTACACTTTTAGAAGCTGATAGGAACCCCTTTTCAGGGCCAGAATCATGCAGTAAAAAGCCAGCATTGTTGCTAGTATTGTGATTTCAATCTTAGTCATTCCAATACAGTACTATTTCCAGGAACCTCTAGATATTTTGTTTTATTTTGTTTTTCTGTGAGGCATGTCAGTAATTGTTTAGGAAAGTTATATCTTGGATTATTTCTAGACTGGAGGTGTTATGGGCGGGGTGTAAGCATAAATAAATAAATAAATAAATAAATAAATAAATAAATAAATAAATAAATAAATAAATAAATAAATAAATAAATAAATAAAGTGATGTTGACAATGGAATATTTTTGCATTTTATTGAACAGTGCTTTGAATGCTAGATTTGTAAACTGAGTCATTAGAAATTGGATAATTAACTTGTTGCTATTAATGTTTAAAGTTGAAAATATTTAATTCACCAAATTCGTGCTTTCAATCTGTAAATTATATTTGTTTCCCGACTGGAAATATTTGGGCTTATAGGGTTCTTTTATCATTGACTTTGAATGGCACATTTGTCATGGAGCCCTTCAAATGTGCTGTTCTTGATGTTTGAAAATCACCTTCCCATATGTTGCACTTTTAAAATACGTTGTTAGGTGTCATCAAATAGGCTCCAACTTACTGTAATCCTATTAATGAGTGATCCCCAACCTGACCTCAACAGCCCTGCTCAGCTCTTGTAAACTCAAGCCTATGGGTTCCTTTAGGGAGACGATCCATTTTATATTTGGTCTTCCTCTTTTCCTGCTGTCTTCCACCAGCTTTCACACCTGTACATGGTGTTCAGAAATACAAGAGTATGGATAGATTATCTTGGTCTCCAGTGACACTCTCTTACACGTTTCTAATTCCTTCATTGCTACTCTTCCGAGTCTCAGTCTTTTGATTTCTTGGCTGCAGTCCCATTTGGATTGATAATTGAAGGTATATAAAGCCTCTCACTATTTGAATTTCTTCATTGTCAACATTAAAGTTGTGTAGTTCTTCTGTAGTCATGATTTTTGTCTTCTTAACATTCAACTTCAACATTCAAGTGCCTGTTTGGCACTTGTTTCTTTCACTTTTACTTAGAGTCATTTTAAGTCATTACTCGTTTCTGACAATAGGATGGTGTTATTTGCATATCTTAAATTATGGATGTTTGTTCTACCTATTTTCACTCCTCTTTCATCTGAATCTAGTTAGGCTCTCTGTAAAATATGTTCTGCATACAGATTGAACAGATAAGGGAATAAAATGCAGCCTTGGCTGACACTTTTGCCTATAGGAAACCATTCTGTCTCTCCATATTGTGTTCTAGTGGTAACCTCTTATCCGTGTGTACAGGTTACACATCAGGACAATCAAGTGCCAAGACACACCTACTCCATTACTCTTATTAGTCCATTACTCTATCTACCACACTACACTGGATCCCCCCTTCAAAATATATGGATCCCAAATCCTATATAGCAGTTATTCATTATAGTTATCAGGATACGACAGAGGTGAAAAATATAAGATTGTAGAAAATTATTCGATCTAAAATA